TGTCCCTCAGCACACAAGTAAAAACAAAAATGAGTATTTTTCAAAGCTGTTGCGGCTATCCATCATCTCCCAAGAAAAACGATAAAATGTCAGAACTGCCCCATTGTCACAGGAGTAAAACTATGTCCTCGAAAAGTCACAACTGTCCGTCAAGAAAAAAGTTAAAACTCTTGACAGAGGTAGAATCATTCTGCGTGCACCTCTAAATGCTTCTCTAGCCCACCCAGGAAGTTTTAAAAAATTCCCTAAAAGCACCGATGACGCGCTAGCTCCTGACGCGGCCCCCCTTCGGCGAGAAAGCGAGCTGACAGGGCCTTGCCGCTAATCCGGCGTTAGCAAGTTAGCGCTTTGCCCCACGTGCCGCCCAGCTGGAGCAAATACCTGCATCGCACCTTCCGGATCAGCGGCGCAGAGCCGCGGCTTTACCGCCTCTGCCGCACGACTTTGGCCTTAATTAAGTCCATCTCGCAGGCGGCGCGGCAGGGATGGCGGGTGGAGCGCTAGGCGGATTTGCGCTAGCTCACCGGCAGCGTCAAAATAGACACCGACAAGCATGCGCTTTAAAATCTGGAGCATTTTGAGGGAAGGGGACAAAAAAAAATATGAGCTGCGCTACATTTTTGGATGTAGTAGTATTATTGTGGTTGATGCTGTGATTATTTATTATATTATTATTCAATCATCACTTTCATTATAATTCTTATAGTTGCTGTTTTATTCTTTTATCTTCAATAAGAGAAGAATCTCACTCCTTTTGGAAATGTCTGTTACCATTATGAACAAGCCGTTATTTGTGTTGTTCATTTTGCACATGGCTACTCAAAATTAGCCTGGCCGGTGGTAGACAGTGTAGGTAGCTAGCTAACAAGATAGATAGCAGATGTTTGTACATGTTTCTGATGTTATTTTGCTGAAGTTGTGTTTAGTCTTTGTGGTTTCTTGTTCTTGGCTCCTGAAGGGACTGCAGATGGACTCCTGAGGGACTCCGGTGGCCCCGCTTTGTTTTTCCCAATGTGGCCTCTCAGGACGGCGTTCAGACAGCCGGCCAGCAGCCCTCCCTTGTCCACAGTTGTTGTTGTTGTTGTTGAGCCACAAGCTGCGATGCAAACTTTTAATGGGCCGAGGTGCGGGTCACTTGGCTTCACTAACTGGTCTCCCTGGACCCTCCCGTCCGGACCCTCTCTACGGAGCAGCAAGGCATCATGGGAGGAGGCCGCCGCAGCCGCCTCATAAGTCAAAGCCTGCAGGCTGGCTTCTTTGCCTGCGGGAGCATCCTGGAGTGCTTGTCCTATAAAAGCAACTTTGCCTTTTTTCTCTTCAGGAATCCAATCCCAACTGCAGCGTTCTAAATTTACTTCCTCGCCGCGGAAGGAAGACAGAAAATCATACTCGAGGGAAGAAGAAACATGTATGCAAGATAATGGGGGGGAAAACAACAACTTTTCCTAAAAGGAAATGATCTGGAATTACTTTGTTGAAGCTTAGACCCACTTGCCGCCTCTTATTACTGCAGATAACTTTCAATACACATTCGCAAAAACTAGGACAAGTTTGTCTGTGAGCGGATGGTGGAAATAGTCAAAACTTAACTCAACATGGCTGCTTCAGACAAAGTGACCGAACTCCCTTAGTCTTTTTCGGCATTGCTTCTTAGGACTCATGATAGACATCCCTGCCACATTTCATATTGCGAAGTCAAACTAGCTTCTGGGGCTGATTTTTTTTATTTTTATCTGGTTGGCCTCAATTGAGTCACTTCAACCCAAAATGGAAAACCTCTTCGAGTATGGCTTCTTGAGACGTTTTTGTTGGACTACTCATGAGATTTATTGACCAAACTTGAGCTCAAAAGTCACTCTGGCTTTGGGGTCTGAAGTGAAACGCACTCGGACCGCCGCCATACTTGAGAAATCACTTGCCGTTACTTGCTTTGATGTGAAATACAGCTGCGTGATTGCTTCTCTGCTCCTGATTGGCTGATGAACTTGTGGGCGTGGCCTGCCCATTTTGACACCAACATTTTCACATCATGTAATTCATGCCTGATGTTGCCAGGGTGATGGGCCTCCTCATTGAAAACTCGTTTAATCTCGTCTGTGGCAGAGTAGTGGGGATAGGGGGGCCTAGTGGGGGGGCGGGGGTGAAGGAGGACGCCTGAGAGCTGCATTAAAGCCTGCCTGCCAGGCCCGCGTCACGCCCGCTCGCCTCTCCCAGCATGCATCAGTGCCGCCAGGAGCCTCTAATGGCAGAGGAGATGGAGGTGGCTTCATTAACATTCAAACACATTTTTTGAATCGTAGCACTGATGACGCCGAAATTACATTTCACAGCCCCGAAGCCAGTGACACCGTGCAACATGAAATTCAGTATGTCTATCATGAGTATAGCCACAAAAAAAAAAAAGTCTCAAGACGCCATGCCTGATAAGATACAGGAAGACCACATACCATTTCAGTCTGAAATTCAGCCCAGAAGCCAGTTTCTTGAAGCAACATGAAATTTTGTAGGGAATTTCTAGCATGAGCAGAACCCGTTTTAGGGTCTTTTGACAAATTCCCGGACTTCTTCAAAATTGAACTCCTCTGAGAGAATGTGTTCAACAACTGCCAAATTAAAAAAAAAAAATCCCAATGAAATGGCCAATGCTAAATTGTAAAGAGTTTTTGTCATGTCATGTGGATGTAGCATAGCGCCAATGTTTTATTACTCCACGTAATACACAAAACTCGAATAAGTTTGAGTTTGAAAATTCAGTCCTAAAAGCCAGTTTGACTTCATCATCGGCAGGCATAAGGAGACGTACAAAAAACAAAACAAAAAAAAAAAAAACATCTCAGGTAGCCAAGCCTGGAAAGTTACAGAGGGTCTGCCATTTTGTTTGAAGCGGCCATTTTCTAAGGGTCCTTGCTCACCCGCAGCCAAATCAAAACACATAAAAAATCTCAAGTTTTTGGTATGAAGCAACAACTTTTGGCATGATTTGTCATTTCCAGGGACGTTTCAAAGACAAATTGGTCCTAATATATAAATATATCGCTAATGCTACATTATGAAGAGATGGAGTTTATTTTAATTGGATTTGGAAAGTCTTTTCGCTGAGCTTGAAAATTCAGCCCTCATCAAAGCCAGTTACACTTTGCAAAATCAAATTTAGTGGGCATTTTATCAAGATTGGGACCACAGGAACCTTCAAAAGATGACAAAAAAAAAATAAGAGTTAGTCTACCGTTTTGGTATAAAGTGACCATTTTACAGGGAAGCTTGCTCCCTTGAATTCGTTCTGAAAAGTCATCCTCCGCAGCCCATTTGACTTAGCCACATGCTATCTGGCAGCAATGTCTATCACGAGAAGCAAGCCTGAAAAGAAAGTCTCCCATTTTGGTTTGAGACAACGACTTAAGGCAGTTTGTCCATTTCCAGAGGCCCTTCAAATACAAATTCTAACCGGTGACTTTGTCCGATCACGACCAAATTTATAAACCTTGACTTACAGCCACTTGGACGACACTTAAACATGACCAAACGTCATGCGTGGGATGAAGGTCATATCCTCTCTTCTGGCAGAAATATATCGCTGCAATAATGCTGTATTGAAGTCTAAAGATGCGCGTTGACCATAAATGTGAGCCGCAGTGTCGATCCCCACATGAAAACAAAAATAATCACGCTGGAGGCTGAGTGTTCATTCCCGCCTCTGCAAAATGAGAAGCTGTTTCTCATCACGGCGGCAAGGACACAAAAAAAAATAAACAACACACCTGCCACGATTGACCCAAGTGCGCTCATGTCGCTCGGCTATTTCTCGGAAAGGCCAATCGGCGAGACGTCTTTTTACGACACTAATCAGAGCAAATGCGGTTACAGAGATGCACTTTGGGAGAAATGATTGCTTTTCTGAAAAAAAAGGAAAAACAAAAATCAAAGCAAACACAGGGCGCTAATGCTTCCGCCATGCCGAGAAGCGCGACGTGACGAGGGCATTTAATTTGCCCGCTAAATCAAATAAGTTAAATTAGAGAGTGCTCATTTTAGCGGCCCACAGAGGGCAAGAGGTAGCATCGAAAGAAAACAAACAACAGGCTTTCCAAATGGCTCAGAGGCGCTCTGTTACCTCGAAACAACACACACACACACACACACACACACACGCCGAGCAAAAGATTGCTTGCCATTTTCGGTGCAACCAAACGAATGCAATGTCGGCGAAAAAAAAGCTGAGGGCCCAATCAGGAGTTCCCAGCGCTGAGGAAAGGCCTCGTTCCGACAAGTCTTCAACTGTGCTCAGACCGCAGGGACGAGAGACCTCAGCTGGCTAATTAAAGGCGGCCAATTAGAGTGCCGCTCTTGTTTGTTTGTTTTTTTTGTTTTCTTTTTTCACTGAGGCTAAGCTAAAGCACAGGTGTCAAACTGGAGGCCCGAAGGCCTGAGCCAGCCCAGTGGAACATGAAATGTGGCACGTTTGATAGGAATCAGAGTTTCAGAAGGGAGGTTATGTGTTTTCCCTTGATTTGTTAGCGTTACGGGTTTTTCAGTGCGAGTTTTCAAATGTGCCGCTGACATGTAATGACACCAAACAAAATGTTTAACTTTTTAACCTTGTCCATTTGTCTAGGATATGAGGTTCAAATTTGGTAGACTTCTTGGTCTTTTTTGGCACATCTCCTGAAGATTTTTTTGAGTATCTTTTCTCGATAGACATAGGTACTCAATTTCATGCTATCTATATTTGCGTCAAGTGAGCCACTTCAAAACAAAATGGCAGACATCCGTTGGAATTGTTTCAAACATGGGTTCTTGAGACGTTTTGTCATTCTACTCAAGATAGACCAGTCTACCAAATGTCAAACTGGCTTCTGAATATGAATTTTTTTAAATGATCAAGTTGGCCCAACTGGTCCAAATGAGAGTAAAACGGTCACTTCAAAGCATAATTACAGCCTTCTTGTGTCATTCCTGGAATGGCCTATTGAGAATTTTTTTTGTGGGTCTTCTCATGACGGATATATAAATTGTATGATGAGGAGCGAATTTGGCTGGGCAGATTTTTATTTTTTTTTTTTAAGTAAGTTGGTCCAACTGACATATTTGATCTTACTTAAAACCAAAATGGTGGCCTTCCTGTGTCTTCCTCCACTCTTGCCCTCTCGCGCTAGCCAGCTGCGTCCTCTCTCCTCTTTTTTGCCCTTTTTTCCGAGTGTCCAATTAGCCTCCTGCCTGCCCACCTGTGCCTCATTTGTGTGTTTCAACACGTTTGTTTGCTTGCTTGTTAGTCCTGCTGGCTTTGTTGGTTTAGCCACGGCAAGAAAATTAACAAATAATAACTCATAATTGCCACGTAATGGCGTGAAAATGAAAATGCCTCCACAGGTAGGCCCGCTAATGCCTTGCATGTTTAATCTAATTTGACACGGTGGCTTTTATGAGCACAGTTCATTTGCTGGTATATTGACTTGAATTTGGTGGGTAACGGCGCTTTGTGAGGATTCCAATAAAAGGACGCCACTTTTAGGGAAAATGACACCCGTTTTCCATTTGCATGAATATTGCACCGCTGTGAAACGGCGACAGGTTTGGGATTTAGCAGCCACTTGATCCTCGCGCAACGGTGAGACAGCCAGGGTGTCAAATTCAGGGCAGGGTTTGGGTTTCAGAGATGTTTCACAGATGGATACTGTTTTTAAGTGTGCAATAGGGTTTCAAGAAGGAGTTACAAGTTTCAAATTAGGGTTTCAGAGATTCCAAGACAGGGTTAGGGTCTCAAATTAAAAATTCAAATCTGGATTAGGGTTTCAAACCAAGTTTTGAAGCCTTGGCTAGAGTTTTAATTTAAGGTTTCAAGACCGTTAAGGATACAAATTAGAGTTGTAGGAAAGAGTTTGAGATTGAAATGGTTTCAAGACAGGTTTAGGGTTTCAAATTAAAGGTTCAAATCTGTATTAGGGTTCCAAATGACTATTTGCTATTTACTGGGTTTTCAGTGTTGTGTTTTGAGCCTGGGTTTCAGGTTTCAAAATTTGAGTTTCAGGACAAGGTAATGTTTTAAATAAGAGTTAGTTTCTCAGATTGTCATTTCAAGACAGGTTTAGGGTTTTGAATTGGGATTTCAAGACACGGTCAGGTTTTCACACAAGGGCTGGTGATTCAAAATAGTGACTCAAACTTGAAATAGTAGATCAAACAATTGTTTGAAATGTGGTCTTAATTAGGGTTTCAAGTTAGGTGTCCAAATTTGGTTTATGGTTTCAACAACTGATAGGGTTTCAAATTGGGGTTTTAAGGGAGAGTTTGTGTTTCAAAATGGGATTCAATGCAGTACAGGTTTCGGGTCTGAAATTTCAAAACTGGATTTGGGTTTCAAATTATATTTAGGATTTTAAATTAAGGTTTCAAGACAGTCCTTAGAGTTTTAAATGTGGATTTCAAAATGAAGACTTAAAGGATAAGTTGATACTTCAAACAAGGGTTAGTGTTTCAAGCAACGGATGTTTTTTTTTTCTAATTAGTTGTTTTGCTTTCAAAATTAAATTTCAAGTTAGAGTTAGCATTTCAAATTTATGTTTCAAGCCAATGTTAGGATTTCAAATTAGCGTTTCAAGACAGATTTCGTGATTTCAAATTGAGGTTTCACTAGCGGGATATGGATAGATAAAGCCAGTGTTTAGGGTCCAAAAAATGGTTGCAGTTTCAAATTCGGGTTTCTAGCCCGGGATAGGGTTTTAAGGCAGGATTGTATGTTTAATCAAAGTGGCATTAATGAGCACTGTTCACTGGCTTGTAAATGACAATTACCAAGATTGCTTGTGGATGATTTTCCACTAATAGCAGGATGGAATTTTTCACACACACACACACACACACACACACACACACACACACACACACACACACACAAAAAGCCAGCCATTTCCATGAGTAATGCTCTGACACAGGCATGTGATTTATGCGCTACACACTTGACTCGTGCGGTCTTTATAACATGCCGCCGCCGCCTATTTCGCCTTCTTCTTGCAGTCCGCCCATGTCGCCTTCACCGGCGCTGTAAAATGGCAACACATTTATGATTAAGCAGCCACTTTGTCATGCGATGCATCAGCGGAGGTGAGCCGCTTTCCTGGAGTTTAGCGCGGGCGCTGCCTCGCCAAATTCAAAACGGTTCTTTATTGGCTGGCTGTCATGTCATGCACAGAGAGAGAAGCCTGTTTTTTATTCAGATTATAATAGTGATTATTGTGATTGTAATAGTACAGGCCCTCGTGGAGTTTTTGCTGTAATTTTTTGGGGGTAACTTTTATCATGCTCAAAAACAAAGCAATTTCGGCAAGCCTGTATATCTGTGGAATTTCAGGATTTCAACGCAACCCCTCAAAATTCACTCGGTAGCACTGTGTAGCTCCAAAGTAACAAAACCAGGTCACGGTTTCCAAATGACGGGTGTTTAATTGTGTCTTTAGGGTTGCCTTTGTACACCAACTCCATGAAAACTGTTGGTAAAATAAAATGCATTCAGCAATTTACAATCGAGATACAATATACGAGGCTAATACAAAAATGTGGGCTAAAGCTAACCTCATTGCCACCTGCCACTTCGGAGGTCTTGGGCAACAAAAATACACTTTCGGTTTCTACATGACAAAATATAACAATTACAATCAGGTCTTGCATTTAGTTTCATATACACAGCCAAATAAATCACAAAATACCTTCAACAGCTAGCGAACAGTCCTTATATGTGCTGCTCTTCGTATGTCTTGCGTTCAAGTGTCTGTACGTGTCTGGGCAAAACCACCTTACCACAGCGCAAGTCTCGCGATAATAGCGAAAAAATCAAAATAACGAAACTTAATTTTACAAAATAAATATTTCACAACATGAATAAATAATGTACATAAAACAAATAAAAAATGTCCTCTTTGCCTTGAAGTTGAAACAAAATATTATTCATTTCCAATTTAACTATTCTGATGACACTTACACACTGCTTAAAAGGTTTGTAAAAAAAAAAAAAAAAATCTGCCTCAAATTCAACGTTGGCCGATTAGCATGAAGTTTGATGGACGTGTCTATCATAACAGAAGACATGAAAACCTCTCAAGGACCCAACCTTGATCAGAGATTTTCTTTCAAAACAGAAATTTTGGGGTCAATTTGGCTGTGTGGTTCTTAACCTGGGTTCGGTGAATCGGTCTCAGAGGTTCGACGGAGCCTCTGCCATGGAGGTTAACATACACCCGACTTAACGTGTCAATTAGTTATGACACGCCCGCTTGGCCATCACTGGCTGCAAGATGATCACATGACATTGCGTGTCCAATCAGCGCTGATTTGAAACATTAGCCCACGATACAAGTTTCACGAATCAACATAAAACTTGGTGGAAATGTCTGTCATAACAGGATACGTTTAAAAGTCTCGAGAACCCAGGCGTGAAATAAAACAGTCAGTCGTCCATTTTGTTTTGAAACAGCCATTTAGGGGAAATCGTTGGCTCGCTGTTGTTTCTTACTTTGTAGCAGCGGCAGTTAATTGACGGCGTGAAGAAGAGAAAGCGTGTCATCTACCTGCCCAGGGTCCAAACAGGATTCGGGTCAGAGCCGATATTAGCACCATCAAAGGCAAATTGTTCAAAGTGATTCAGACACAGGAGGTTCGACGCAAACGTGCTGTTTGAGATTCATGAGTGTGATTCGCATGCGGCAGCAGGAAGAAAGAGAGAAAAAAAAAAGGAGGAGGACTGAAGAAAATGGCTCGCTTTAATTTCCTGCCTCATAGATTGTTGAATGTATGCGCAGCTACGCCCTTATCTGCAGGAAGCAAGATTTAACACCTCACCTTTACTAAATATGACCACTCTCAGCTCGGTATATTTCCGAATGATTTTAAGACTCTTTGTCATCATATTTTTGACTGGACTGGATAAAAGAAGTAGGGTTTCGAGCCGAAGGTTTCATTTGAACAAAGATTGAGGGTGGAAAGGGTGTTTTTGAGACGGGTAGGTCTTCCATGGGCATTTCAGGTCTAGGCTAGGGATTAAATTTAAGGTTTTGTTGTAAGCAAGGTTGGGTTTTCAAATTATTGGGGTGTTAGAATAGAGTTTCAAAGTTTCGAACAAGGGTTAGGGCTTCAAAAATTGGATTTTAATCTGGTTTAGGGTTTCAATGTTGGCTTTCAACCCAGTGTAAGGGGCTCAAAATGGAGATTCAAGCCAGGGTCAGAGTTTAAATTCAGTGTTTAAAAACGGTGTTGATACTTGGGGAAAAAAAGTCTTAAGACATTTCCAATAGGGGCTTCAAACCAAGTGTGAAGAGAACAGTTTTAAATGAATAGTTTTTCAAAGTCGAGTTTCAAGCCTGGGTGAACGATTCAAACAATGGTTCGGGGCTCAAAATGGGATTTTAAAATTGGATTAAGGTTTCAAATAAGGGTTCGGAGTTTAAAGTAGGGTTTCAAGCCAGTTTTGATGTAAACTTTTAAGACCGGGTTAGGTTTTCAAACGAGGGCTTCCAGCATGGGTTGGCAGTGTATCGACATTTAAATATGATGTCATGATGTTACATTAGAATCTCTGCTCTGTTTCAATGGCAAGCGTTCCATCTAATAAACGTGTCAAGCATTTTAGTCGGAACAGGAATAAAATAGCTGCGTGTCAGGAAGAAGGTACGGCACGAGATGCGAAGCAAATGAAGCGACGTCGAGAAAGGTTGAGAGATATCACAAAAAAAAAAAAAAAAGGAAGTGGCGGAGCGGAGGTGAAGGATTAGCGTCACGCTTATCAGATGCCAGGTGCAAAGAGCGGCGCTCATTTGCATGGCCTGCCGCGCTCCACCTTTGCCCCGCCCTCCCCTTACTGCCGCCACTCTTATCACAACAGCCGCCAGTCTTTCACGCGGTCGGAGGGCTCGGCCCCGCCGACAAGTGGGCTGCAAACACTCGGCGCGCTTTAAAATGTTTAACCAGCGTACAAAGGATAAGGTTCATTCTGCTCGGCCTCTCAGGTTATTCAAAGGTTGATTT